TCCTTCCTTGACAAGTAGATTTCCCTTTTTGCTGTGACGATCATACAAGATTCTATGTTACAACTCACATGATTTTATTGTTGATAAATCGTAAATGTCTCATAATTAAACGATGTTTTTTCTAAAAGATTTTTTGAAGGTTTTCTTTATGATTTTAAGATGCATTAACCTCATATACTTTTTTAAAGTTGACTTTTAAATTTTTTCGTGTCTTTACTTGGTCTTGCATATTCATGTTTCTAACTCATGATGATATTGTATTTATATTTATGCAGACTTTTTCATACTTAGTACATTTACCGTACTAATGCATAGTTGTGTCTATGTTGTCTCATAATATAGGGTCTAATAGTTCTCCTCCTTGACGTGCTTAGATTAGGATTGCTCAGCTTTCATCATTTGGATTGGTGAGTGGTAGTGATTTGATGACAAAGTCATGGAAAATTTTATTGAGCTTTATTATCTTTTCAGTTTCAGATTATGGTCATGACTTAGGAGTTTGTCCTAGTCATATCAATGATGGTTGAAGGCTTATGGCAGACTTAGTATTTTTCACATTTTTTTATATACTCGTTGGTATTGTTTAGGTCACCTTATGATTCGAGATTTATATTGACTATATCTGTTAAATTATACTCTCTCAATTTAAAAAAGAATGACTCTATTTCCTTTTTATTATGTTTTAAAGATAATGACCAAATTTTCTTTTTTGACAACACTTTAACTTTAACTTTTTAAGTGACATGTTTAAGACCACAAAATTAAAGAGAATTTTGGTAAATTTAACATAACTTTAATTTAGAACCACAAGATTAAAAAGTCTTCTTTCTTTTCTTAAACTCCGTTCCAAATCAAACTAGACCATTCTTTTTAAAACGGAGGGAGTATTTCAATACATCATGTTTATGTCAATTGACTTGTTTAGAATTTCTCGGGATCTTATTTTCCATGTCACGTCTAGGTTGTACTTTGAATCGTGATAAACTTGGTATATATAGGGACTGGTTTTAGAAAAAGGTCCTAGGATGTCTGACAAATCACGTCAAGTAGAGTCTTATTCATGAGTGTGAAAAATACCACATTTATGAATATGAGGCTACAAGATGTTTGGGAAGCTTCACTTCATTCAATAGTGTTCTTTATTAATTTGAAAATTTGTTATCGCAAATATTTATTAGAAAAATATATAAATACGTATTTTTTGTAACTTTTTTTTTATATTTGAAAGATAAATTAATCATAAATGAAATATGAAGAAGCAAGAATATTTTGACGTTAAATCAAATTAGTGCAATTTTGTTCCTCCCCTGATTCTTCTCACATAAAATTTATTCACGTTTCGAGGACCGTTAGTTGCGTAGTTCTCAAATTATGATGATTTAAATTTTTCCATGATTCGAGAGACATTACTGGTGTATTTATTTAACTATGATGATTTGAATTTGATCTCCATAATTCGAGGGACCGTTTGTTTATTTCTCGAACTAGGACGATTTAGACTTTTGATATCCACAATTTAAGGGTTGTTAGAATTTACTGGAACTAGGATGACTTGTAATTTATCTCAATTGATCTTTGTGAATATTTCATGAATTTGTGAAATATTTTAGATCATTTTTTAGAAAGACATTGATTGATATCTTCATAATCTATTTGAGAATACCCAAGAATGTATGAGATATATAAGATCTTGATTTTTATAAATAGCTAGAGCTTACGGGATATTTTCAGATCCTTGACCTCCAATGATCTTTGTGAATATTCCATAAACTATCTCTCTCTATTAAACCTCTCTGTCATCATCACAGTAATCATTAAAAATCTATTTCAAAACTGACAACTTCATCTGAGGGATAGTAAGGTTCATCACCAACTGGCTTGCCTTCTTAATTGTTTCTGTTACCACCTATAAATTCATCATACCCAACAACTAGCTCTTTTTTTTTTTTAATGTTTTTAACTTTACATGATCAAGCATAGAGCTCTTTCTCTCGTTTTCCTTCTCTTTCTTCTACTATTTTCCTTTCTAAAAGTTCTTGGCTCTTTATCTACATCACTCTTATCAAATTGTCCATTCAATGATTCTCTATTTGAATTTGTTCATTAGAAGAAAGGATTGGGTCAAGGGTTGGATCAGTAGAATGATGGAAAGAGTCAAGAGTTACATCAATATAAGGATAGATAGAGGTTGGAGTTTGATGAGTAGAAGGAAGAGTATTTGGAGCAGTAAAAGAGTGTATAGAAGAAGATGTAGTTGAATTGACAGGGGCATGGGTAGGACTAGAGTTTGAAACATTTTCTTGGGCCACATTTGTTGGTTCTAATTCTGCATCAAAAGATGCATTAGGCCCATTGATTTTAGATGCTCCCTCTCTTCGAGTTGCTCTATTTTATCTATATTTCAGTTAAGGTGGACTAAAATGGGACCTGCAATCAAGTGACACACAAATGCCTTCGAAATATCTCCACTACTCAAACATTCAACAATTAAATTAGTATCCTAGTCTGACTTAATTTATAATATAGCAACACTTTTAAGCAGTTTCACAAATAGCATGCATTGTCTAGGTTCATATCAGAACTTTTTCCCATAATCCCTCAATTCAAAATAAGAAAATCTATCTATATCAACATCTAAAAAATTAGTAATTTCTCCATCATGATTGTATCTCATTTTTCTCTTCTTCGTAACACCACTATGGTAAAATCTCAAAGTAACCAATTCAAACCACATTTAATCTGAAAACAATATTAATAGTTGGCCCTCAACAATGACAAAATACATACATCAACAAAGGCGAATTATGTGAATGAAATACTGTAAACTTGAAAAAAAAATTAAAGACAAAATAACCCTAGGCTAACTAGTCTGAACTATTAAGTAACCAACTCTTAAAGATGTCTGACCGACCTTTCACAAATGAAGACGACGACACAATAGATGCTCCACCAAATCCTAATTACCACCACTTTTCTTGTACCAAATGATGAACTCCTCGATTATAGCCACCAAGTTTCTGCAAGCATGAAAGTGAAACCTGGATTAAATGATTAACACAAAGGATGACTCAAAAACACTATATGATTGAAGAAATCTTTAGTTATTTGTTCGATTTACGATCGTAATTCTCAATTAGATTTTGGTATTCTTAGAAAAAGTAAATGGGTGGGTCAAGTAAATTGAATTGGGTTGGGGGTCATTTAATACGTGGCTTCACTAGGAGGCGAATGACTTTCACCCTATACGTAATGGCCTGGGTTGGGTGACCGAAGGGATGATTAAATACACTTTTGAGTAGTTAAGACATGTAATAGGTCAACCCTAATAATAAAAACGCTTGACTTTTGACTAATGATCCCTTTCTTCCACAACTAATGAGAGTAAAGAGATACAAATGTAAAGTTCACCAATGGACATAACATAATGTGACATATAAATATTTTTATTAATATTAAAATGTCACACCAACAATTAATAATATAGAGAAAAAACTATTACAAGAGAATTACTGAATATGATTTGAATATGTGATTTACGATCATGATTTTAATCTTAAGTTTTTTAAAAAACAAGAGTTGGGATTTTCAAATTGTATTTTTAATTTTATTAAATGTAAACGCTCACTAATAAGTTTATAAATTTCGGGGAAAAGATCTTTTTAAATTTCACAAAAAATATTTATGCTCGACATTAGAATTGACCATCTCATATGAATGAATTATACTGAATAATAATAATAATAATAATAATATTAATTATATTATTATTATTATTATTATTATTATTTGACTAGTGTTCTATATTCATTTTAAAATTTGTCATTATAAAAAATATTTAATTTATTAGAAATATACATAAATACGTATGTTTGTAATATATTTTTAAATATATGGAAAATAAATTAACCATAAACAAAATATGAAGAAATAAGAATTTTTTTTGGTAAAATCAAATGAGTACAATTTTGTTCCTTTCTTGATTTCACTCTCCTAAGATTTATCCATAATTCGAGAGTCATTGGTGACGTATTTCTCGAACTAGGATGATTTAAATTTTTCCGTGATTTGAGGGCCGTTAGTGGTCTATTCCTTGAAATAAAATGATTTGAACTTAATCTCGATAATTTGAGGGTCGTTATATATATATATATATCAAATAAGGATGATTTAGACTTTTGATCTCTATAATTTGAGGGTCATTAGAGGTGTATTTCTCGAACTAGGTGATTTGAAATTTATCTTCATGATCCTTTTGAATATTTCATGAATTTGTGAAATATTCTAAATTTCTTTGACTAGACAATATTTGATTTCTTCATGATCTATTTGAGACAATATTTGATATCTTCATGATTTCTTTGAGAATATTCAATAGTATATGAGATATTCGAGATCTTGATCATTGTAAACACTCCACATGGGATATTTTCACAATTATCTGATCTTCAATAATCTTTGTGCATATTCCATGCCTTTAAGGAATATTATGTATATAGTATAAATTTTCAATATCTACAACGTAAAAATATTTGAGTATTTTGTTGAAATATATAACTTTTTCCTTTAGTAAAGATAATATAAGAATTGTTTTTTTAAAAAAAATTATTAATCTTCACAATTTATAATTTTCTTATGAAATATTTTAAATTTCATTTACCAACTTCAAAACTAATTTGGAATATGTGGGCTAGGATTGTAAGCCAACTTGTCAAAAACTCAAAAATTAGTCTGAGTTTGAATGAAGTTAAACTTGTATGGTATTTGTATAAGTTAAGGTCAAAAAAGGTATGCTTGAAACTTAAATATATGACGTCATCTATAATGGACCCTACCTAAAATAAAACGGCTCTTCTCACCCAACTATATCATCACGTAATCCCCGAGCACTGGAATGGCGCGTAAATATCATGTGCCCTTTTAAAACCTAAATTCACCCTACTATTCACCTATAATTTCCAAACTACCCTTCCAACGTCCCTATAAATATATTCCTTCCCCACATAACACCTTCTTCATAGTTCATCATACCTACCTTCACTCATCTTCATAATAGTATCTGTTTTTGTTTTACTGAACTGGCTAACTCTCAGTTAACTCTGGAGGAAACAACAAACAAAGGGGTGGTGCTCGCCCTGTATGAAGCCTTGAGCTCACACGACGTCGTTCAGGTCCAGAAACTCCTGGCCTCCGACCTTGAGTGGTGGTTCCATGGTCCTCCTTCTCATCAATTTTTGATGCAAATACTCACCGGTACTGCTAAATTCGATAACGCCTCTTTTCAATTTCTTCATAAAACCATTGACGTATTCGGCTCCGTGGTTCTCGTGGAAGGCTGTGACCCGACCCGATCTATTACTTGGGTTCACGCCTGGACTGTTACGGATGGGGTAATTACCCAGGTTAGGGAGTATTTCAATACCTCACTTACTGTAACCCGTTTTCGGAAGAAAAACCAATCCGATATTTCCTCTATTACGCCTCTGCATTGTCCCTCTGTTTGGGAGAGTAGCTTACCTAATCGGGTCGGTAAATCTGTTCCGGGTCTTGTATTGGCTCTATAAGAAAATTGTGCTGCCGTTTCTCTTGTGTCTGATAGGATGTAAGATTAACACGGCTGGTTTGAGATTCTGTTGCCGTTTGGTTTGATTTTTTTGTTAAGTTGGGATTTGTGTTTGTTTAATTATGATTGAGTTAAGGAAGGGGCCAATGATAATTGGGTATACCTTCCGATTGTTGTCTAATTATGTAATGGTTTGCAATAAAAAGCTTTGTGATTGGCTGTTTACAAAATGTGTATATTTTTCAATTTGGTATTGCTTCTTCTTTTCAACGAATCACGATGGATACACTCGAAACATTTTTTCGTTAAAAAGCAAATCTTATTATTAACGTCAAATTAGAATTTTTATTATGAGATTTAATATAGTTAAAAGAGGTTTTAAATCTATATATATATATGAAGTATAATTTTGTGTCCGTCCCTACCTGGAACAGTAGGAGGAGGAACAATATATTTAAGAGGTATCTTTTGCTTGCTTAGGATAGATTCACATCATGCTTTGCTTTCCCCACTATATAGGTAGGTAATAGGAAGGCATATGCTCTATTCCTTTATAACTTGGCCAAAAAAAAGATCAAAGAGTATAATACACACTTTTTTATTTGCTATACAAGAATAACTTGATTTTTCCATCTAAGTATAAACACCAAAATTTTCACTGCAATTTTAATTAGGATTTGATAATGTATTTTCAATTTCAGTTAGATATTTTGAAAACTATTTAATTTAAAACCTAGCTTATTTCTTCTAACAGTCATTTCAAAATATATCATAAACTCTTAGATATTTATATAAATTTAAGATCTTAAATATCGCATAAATTATATGTCATTAATAATCAAAATACTTCAACAAGGATCATAAATTCTTTGGTAAGAATAAAGTCCAAATCATCCTAAATTAAGATGTGGGCTACACACTTATGTTTCTTATATATTTCTTTATATTTTATTTGAAAGAACGTTAAATTAAATTTACTCGAGAAAACGAAGTCTAAAGTTTTTGGTAGTAACACATTTGATTAAGAAAACAGTATAGTTAACTTCTTTTAATTTTATTTATTATAAAATAAGTAAGTTCACTTATGTTTAACTTCTTTGTAATAAAATATACTAGAAAAAAAAGTTACGATAAGAAGTTTTAGATAATTTTTTGAGCAACTTTCACGTATAGCAAATACAAAAATCATATTTATATGCTATAATTATAGTTTACTTAATTATGTTCCATAACAAACTTTATGTTTGCTATGACTATTTCGCTATGCATATACAAATGAAGATGGTTATTTTGCTACCTATATATACAAAAGAAGTAATTGTATAATCTGTTTCGATATACATGTACAAAAGAATCAATTATATAATTTGTGTTTGTATAAAACGAGAAACAGAGAAAGACAAGAAAAAATTGTGCAGGGAAAGATCGTATTTGTATAATTATAAGTGTATAGGACGAAAATATATGCATTTGTATTTGTATATACAATTCTCTCTCACTTTATACAAACACAAACACGATGTATACATTTATATTTGTATAAAGTGAGAAAGATGAGTGAAAGTGGCGAGCGAGATGTTGGAGTAATCTGAATACCTAGGAATCTCCGGGATATGGTGCGTAACATACAGTCTCAATCTAATCAAGAATCGCTCCAACATTTAAACATACTAATTCGGTCACTCATGGACTTGTAATAATTACATCACAAGAAATAAATTTTGACTAACTCATGGGATCAACACGCAAAAGCACACAAACATGTATCAAGGCATGGTATCTAAATCAATCGGTTGATATTCCATTGTAGGTGTGGTAGCTGAGCAAATTGAAAGTCACAAACATTACAACAATCACTACCACAATGAAAAAAAAACTCATACTAGTAAAATAAACAAGTATTTAAGACAATCCAATGAATGAGAATGATGACCAAAAATCCTTAACATTCATTCTCTTTTTCGGTTCGCCCTAAACTTCACTTCGCTCAGATTCATTCGAGCCTAGCCTAGTCTAACATTTTCAATTCCTCAACCCCAAAATTCTCACCCAATTCCTTTTAGGATTAGCCCATGCATAACGGCAGAATAGGTCATTACATCAACAGTGGTATTGAAAAATTTATTTATGCAAGTTTCCCCGATTAGTAATACTAATCTTCATGATAAAACAAGTCGTTTGAATTAGCTTATTTTTAAGTGTTTTTAGGTTTTAAGCATTTTTTAAGTTATGGAAATGATAAAAAATTGTGTTTAAGCATATTCACATTTAGGGTGTGTTTGGTATAAAGGAAAACAATTTATGAAAAATGTTTTTAAATTTTCTCATGATTGGTTGGATCAAATTTTTCCAAATCAACGCACTTTCTTCAAATTTAAGAAAAATGACTTCCCTTCAAAACATAAGAAAATAATTTTCCAAAACTCTCTTCCAACCTCTCCTACCTACCCACCCTACCAGCCCCCAACCCACCCATCTCTACCAGCCCCCCCCCCCCTAAAAAATTTAATTTAATTTTTTAAAAATATTTTTAACTTCAATTTTTTTTTCACCCCTACTCTCAACCCACCCACCCACCGCCTACCATCTCCCATCCCCCAAAAAAACAATTTAAGTTCTTTTTTGAAAATATTTTAAACTTCAAAAATTCATTTTTTCAACCCTATCCTCGACCCTCCCCCCCCCCCCTCCTCTAAAAAAAATTGTAAGTTTATTTTTAAAAAAATATTTTAAACTTCAAAATTTCATTTTTTTACTCCTACCCTCGACCCCCACCTCAGCCGAC